AAACGGTAAACGGTGGTAAACTGTTTTGTTTAGGGGGTAAACGGAAATTAAACGGTTGATTGTTTAAACGGTAAAAAATGGTCTAAACGGTATAAGCGGACGGAGATAAACAATATTAAATGGGCTAAATAAATTGTTTAAACGGTTGTTTAGACGAATACGAGGTAAATCTAGTTTAATTTTGTATCGATAAATTTGTATACTTAAGTTTATTATATTTATAAATGTGTATACTTGATATGTTACATGCATAAATATCTATATTTGGTTCTTTTCACATGCATAAATATATATATACATACCAAAATAATTAATTTTTACTCTGATAAATATGTATAAATGCTAGAATACTTGATTTTTTACATGCACATATATAATTATATGTATTTTTTTAAAAAGTACAAACCCGTTTAACTTCGTTTAAACACCGTGTAAACAGCCTAAACGCTAAACGAAGGGCGACCGTGTAAAGACCGTTTATCGTTTAGAAAAACATTGCATCTCATATACTCAGTTTTAGTTCTACTGAGTCTAAAACATTTGGACTCCAAAGTCTCCCGCCATAACTTCAGTTTTTTATTCACTCCTGTCTGGCTTTCATCAACTATCACTACATCGTCCTCGAAAAGCATACACTAAGGGATGTCCCCTTGTATGTCCCTTGTGACCTCATCCATCACTAAGATAAACAGATAAGGGCTCAAAGCTGACCCTTGATATAGTCCTATCCTAATTGGGAAGTCATCCGTGTCTCCATCACTTGTTCAAACAATAGTAACAACATTGTTGTACATGTCCTCAATGAACTCGACGTACTTCATTGGGACTTTATGTTTGTCTAAAGCCTACCACATAACATTCCTTGGTATTTTATCATAAGCCTTCTCCAAGTCAATAAAAACTATGTGTAGGTCCTTCTTCTCCCTATACCGTTACATAACTTGTCTTATTAAGAAAATAGCTTCCATGGTTGATCTTCTGGGCATAAAACCAAATTGGTTCATAGAGACCCGCGTTATTGCTCTCAAGTGATGCTCGATAACTCTCTCCCATAACTTCATAGTATGGCTTATCAACTTAATTCCCCGGTAATTAGTACAACTTTGAATGTCCTCTTTATTCTTGTAGATCGGTACCAATATACTTCTCCTCCACTCGTCAGGCATCTTGTTCGATCGAAAAATATGGTTGAACAGCTTGGTTAGCCATACTATAGCTATGCCATCGAGGCATCTCCACACCTCGATTGGGATACTATCCGGTCCCATCGTCTTACCTCCTTTCATCCTTTTCAACGTCTCTCTGACATCAGATTCTTGATTCTCCACACAAAACGTCTATTGGTGTCATCAAAAGAGTCCTTCAACTGAAAGGTTGTGTCTGTATTCTCATCATTGAATAATTTATCAAAATACTCTTGCCATCGATGTCGGATCTCATCCTCCTTCACCAAGAGATGCTCCCTTTCATCCTTAATGCACTTAACTTGGTTGAAGTCTATTGTCTTTCTCTCACGAACCCTAACTATCCTATAAATATTCTTCTCTCCTTCTTTTTGTACTCAAATGTTGGTAAAGATCCTCGTACGCTCTATCCTTTGCCACACTTATAGCTCGCTTTGTAGTCTTCTTTGCCACCTTATACTTCTCTATGTTGTCCACACTCCTGTCATGGTACAAACGTCTATAGCATTCTTTCTTCTCCTTAATAGTCCTTTGGACTTCCTCGTTCCACCACCAAGTATCTTTAGCCTTGCCTCCACTTCCTCTGGTTACTCCACACACCTCTAAGGCCACCTTCCGAATGTTGGTTGCCATCTTCTCCCACATGTTGTTTATGTCATCTTCTTTCTTCCAAGAGCCCTCTTTGATAAGCCTTTCCCTAGATACCTCTGATGTCTTCCCTTCCAGTTTCCACCACTTTGTTCTTTCAATCTTAGCTTGTTTATCCCTACGAGCACGCACCTGAAAACATCTTCATCTGACTTCATTTGAAAAATATGAATTTATTTGTTCTGCATCCATTAAGAATGGTCGACTTGGTAAACCGTCTTTGTAAATTGATTTCTAGAAATTATCTATTGTCAATAGCGGTTAACAAGGAACTGCCTCTAGAAATCATATTTTCGAAGAAGGTTAGCGTAAGCCATTGCATGTAAAAACAATTTTTTAGTAGTCAATAAGCATTGATGTGTGAATGTGAATAATTAGACTGTTATCACGACAATAAAAAGTGCATAAAAATAATTTCATGCCACAAAAAATTCATTATCTCTTCGTCTGTACTAGTATTTCACATCAGTTCATTTACTACCCATAAAACTTCTATAAATCCTTCACTAAGACTAGCCTAATGCGGAGTAGTGTACTAGCCTTAGTTAAAGTTAACCATAGATAGTACTTTTTTGTGAATAGTAGATACGTCCTCCGTCCAAAAAGAATACAATTCTGGGTTCCAGTGTCACGTGTTAGTATATCAACTTTGATCAATTATGGATAAAAATATAAATATTTATAATATCAAATAAATATTATTGAATTAATTATGAAATGTATTTTCATAATCAATTAATTTAAAGTCATAAATGTGAATACATGAATTACTTTACGTAGCACGTAACCTATAGCTGCATTCTTTCGCGGATGAAGATAGTAGCACTTTTCTTTGGGTATGGTTTTCACCATGCACCATCAGGCAACTAGTATGTTCGTTGCAACGTTTACTAGTAATATAAAAAATAATAAAAAACATAAGAAAGCCTAAGATTGACTGGGCTTTTACTGGCTCTGAGTGTGACCCAATTATTCAATGGAATATTCGTCCCAGCGGGGGCGCAATCCGTATTTTGCTACACACCCGTTAACAATTCTTGGTGGCTTGAATTTATCAATCCGGAGAACAGTGTTTTCACTCATAACAAATTAGTTTTAGCCGCTTATCATTTTTAGAAAGGTGAAACGATACTAACTTTAACCAAATATTATAAAGAACACTAATAATGTTTATTATGAGTTATAATATCTCTAGATTAATCAAAATATGTTTTTGTACAAACAAATTTAACGATATATACTTGAACTTGTTTTTTTTTTACTTTTTCTAATGTTAGGTGAGTTCTAGCTTCTTCTTTTTTTGCGACGCCTGAGTTCTAGATTCTTGACACCGTATTTATTCTTGATTTTTTTTCTCCATTCAGCTAAATCTCAACCGTACATGCTTATGAAGCAACATTGACGGCGTGTTTGATTTAGGAACTAAAGTTCGGATATTAATTAGGAGGACTAAACATGAGTTAATTATAAAATTAATTGTGGCTAAATCGCGTGATGAATTTATTAAACCTAATTAATCCATGATTATCGTATGTTTACTTACCACATTAAGCTAATCATAAACTAATTAGATTTAATAGATTAAGTATCGTGAATTAGTCTTCATTTATGTAGTTAGTCTATATTTAACACTCCTATTTATTATCAAATATCTTGAACTAAACAGTCACGCCGAACCAAACACCACACCTAAACATCGTTGTTTCGAAAATATCCTATATATATATAGCAAATTTCTTTTTACTCCTCGCAGAGACGAGATTTTTGTTCTTTTGAGTATCCTACTCGGGCTACGTGATTGTTTCAAAGGAGAGGAAAAAGATAAGAACTGGGATGACAAAGAAAAGAACACACACCAGTTAAGTTAGTACTACTAAGTTCCATTAATAAACAGTATTCACCATGTTCACGATGCTAAAATTTAGCTTATCTTTGATGCTTATGTCGAAATATTTTTATTAAAATACATGTATTACTGGATAAGGAAAAGCGTTACAAAGACACGTCTGAATATACAGATACGTCATTTAGAGGATACATGGACAGCTGTCACAACCATTTTACACAAAGGCCCCTAACAAAAGTACAAATTACATTGAGGACCCTGGACCATGTGATTCCCAAAGTCGCCCGAAGTCTCCATCGACTGTCGTCGTCGTCGAAGAAGACGCCATGACCAGGGGCGAATCTATGTGTATCCATCGGGGTCAGCTGACCCCGGTAACTTGCCAGAAATACACTTAAAGTTCTTTAATCCACCTGCAAATTACTCTTTTAAATAGAAAATCAACATGTGTTTGACCCCAATGCTTAGTCCTTGACCCCAATGACATGATATCCTGGATTCGCCCCTGGCCATGACCACCCCAGGAAGAGCCCCATTGCATAAATGCTTTGAAGCAAGCCAAAGTAGACATCCGACGCCGAGGCTGGGATGAAAACGTCGATGGAGCATCGGCCGGGGACGCACCCCGAGCTCCTCTAACCTTGGATCGATGCTCGCCGTCGACTCGCGCTCGGGAAGCTCGAGCTCGATCCACTCTCCAGCCAGCCGAAACGCCCGCAGCTGTCGGTGTACCCTTGACGATGCGTGCCGCCGGCACCACCACCTTCACGAGGCGACGGAACCGCAAACCGCGTGGACTCCTGGACCCGAGCCGACGAAGCCGGACTCCACCTCCACGCACTCGTCGCCGGCACCGGAGAAGAGCGCCGCCGAGACGGGGGAGAGCACGAGAGGACCTTATTCCTAGACAACAGCGCCGCCGCCGAAAACCCTAACCTAGATCTACTAGGATTGAACCCTTCGACCGCCGAGTCCCGCGGTCTTCACCACCTCGCAAAGGCCCGAAGGCCATCGGAGGCGAGGAAGACCGCCTGCTCCCCCGGCGGAGACCGGATCGCACGGGTTCGTCTCTCTCAAGTGTAGCTAGACGAGTGTTGTAGCTAGACGAGAGGAAAGCACTGAAAAATAGCTCAAGCTAACGGGTGAATCTTCCGAGCGAAGCAAAGCACATAGCGAAAACAGTTATTTCACTTTACAGAGGAACTGAATTCCGGCGGATACCAACAGGGGCGGGGGCAAGGCAAGGAAAGGCACATTCCAATCCAACATTCTCTCGCTGCCTGCGCCTGCGCGAGCTGGCAGGCAGGTACAGGTAGACGTGCTCACGAATCCGCCGCCCGGAAGAGCGTGAGGAGGGAGAGGAAGAGGTTGATGACGTCGAGGTAGAGCGCGACGGCGGCCCAGACGTACTCGTCGTAGGAGTAGCGCTTGATGAGGTTGTCGGTGTCGTAGATGATGTATCCGCAGAAGATGAGCGCCGCCAGCCCGCCGTAGACCATGAGCGAGATGCGGCCGAGAGGGAAGAAGAGCTGGATGAGCGCGAACAGCATGAGGATCATGACGGCGGCGAACAGGAACGGGCCCAGGAAGTTGAAGTCGTGGCCGCGCTTCGCCGCCCAGAAGGTGTACGCCGTGAGGCTCAGCACCACCACCGCCGTCAGGATCCCCGACTCCAGGATCACCTCCCCTTTGGTGAAGGCGCAGGTGAGGCCGACGGCGAAGCTGATGGCGATCGTGAAGAGGCCCAGCAGCAGCAGGTTCACCGGGTGGTGCTGGTAGTAGTAGTACAGAGGGCACAGCACTGCACGACGTACGCACGCAACGACGAGTCAGTTCCGGTCGTTCGTTAGCGCCGCCATACATTTGCATCAATCAACAAATCGAAATCGAAGCGAATCGAGCCAGAGGTTGCGTCGCGTACCTATGAACGGGAGGATGATGAGGAAGATGTAGAGCCCGAATCCGCCGGGCGTGGAGACGAAGAAGCGCGCGACGGGGCGGACGTACACGACCACGGCGGCGACGGCGACGGTGAGCAGCATCTGGATGGACAGGATACTGTAGACCTTCCGGATGAAGGCCCACCGCAGGCGCGAGTCCTCCAGCATCAGTGGGTACAGCAGGTGCGCCGCCTGCCCCGTCTCCGCATCGCCGGCGTACCACTCCGGGCCCTTGGGCGGCGGCCGGAAGTACATCTTCTGGTTCTCCTCCTCCGCCTCCTCTGTTCCTCTGTCACCGCCCTCTCCTCTCACTGCCCGTGTACGGAGGACACGCGGCCGGCGCTCGGAGCTCTCACGGGGACAGCTTTCTTTGTCCCAGTCGTTGTGCTTGTGCGCTGGTGGTTGTTGCGGTGAATGGCTCGCTGGGCGGGGAGGTCTTTAAGGAGGCGCGGAATGGGCCCAATGGTGCGGGTAGGTCTTTAAGGAGGCGCGGAATGGGCCCAATGGTGGAGAGCAGAGGATGGCGCGAGAGGGAGAGTGAAGGTTCGCGACGATTCCGTCCTGCGGCGGTGCGGGTGGTCCGACGTGGCGGGGACTGTAGACTGACGCGTGGGGCCCCGGTGCGCGAGCCGCGTTCTAGTCACGTCTCTGTCCGTCTGGTGGCGTCTGGACTCCGGACTCCGGAGGGTGGAGAGGAGAGAACGGGAGAGATGCCACTGCCAGATGCGTTGCTTTTGCTTAGCGGCGGGGGTATCGCCGCAATGCGTTTTCTTCTGGGGTTTGCCTGCGCTTTTTCGTGTGTCCAGCCTAATTTATCGGATTTCTCTGGGCAAAGCAAAGCATGAGCAACAGTAGATGCGGCATTATCCGGTAGTGTTGTGATCGTCATTGGGCTTTGGCTCTAAGGAAAATGGTTGTGTAGTTTCATGTGGGGAGTTCTCATCTTCCCTTGGCTTCACGTCATCAACCTCAATTTCCACTTTCGCAAAGGTTCAAGGCCCATATCAATCATATATCCAATAATAACTAGTTGTCGCAGTGAGTTTTTTTTTCATTATGTAAAAAAACAAGATTATGGGTGGATTACTGAATTGTTGGAGATGCTCTTATGTACTTCTTCCATCCTAAAATAAGGGGATATACTAGCGTCCGGACATCCAGATATAAACAAGTGATCCGAACACTTCCGCTGTATCCGTCCCCTGACGCCCTTTCACTTTCGGATCCAGAGGCTTTCGCTCTACCCATCCCACCCCAGCGCTTATCCCCTTCTGCCTCCCTCCTTTATCCTATGATGCAATAGTAAACCACGGTAATGGTGGTTGCGCTTTCTATAGCGCTTGCAGGCACCACATCTTGCCGTACGTGAGGGAGAGAGATGGAAAGAGAGACAAATGGATCAGATGTTAATCATTGCTTGCAACATTCAAGAACAAAGGTTTGCAACATACTGAAACCTCATGTAACATAAAAAAACATGATGCAACATCTTAAATCGACAGTTGCAACATAAAAAAACATGCTGCAACATCTTAAATCGACTGTTGCAACATTCAAAAAACATGTTGCAACATCTCAAATCGACTGTTGCAACAACCAAAAAAACATGTTGCAACATCTTAAATCGAATATTGCAACATCCAAAAAAACATGTTGCAACATCTTCAATCGACTGTTGCAACATTCAAAAAAACATGTTGCAACACCGCAAAATCTATATCACATACTACAACATAACCCATCGTAGAGTGCAGATCCGGTTGCGCTTGCCAACGAAGGAGCCCGACCACCATGGAGGAGCTTGTTGCCAGTGAGGTCACACCTACGGCGTGTAGTTCGTCGTCGAGAGACACCCGACAATGGAAGATTTCATAGCCGAGAAACATCTCACCATAGATGTGTCCACTTAGATCCACTTTGCCGCCATGGATGTAAGGTAGGAAGGTGTCACACCCGATTTCGTAGCGCCAAAATCGGGGGCACATCATATGTGCGCCAGGATCAATTTCCACACATATGACTTGACATCATCAGTGATAATAAAAACAGTGTACGAAAAAGAGTATATTATCATTATTACATGGTCATCAGAGTTTGATTACAGGCGAAGCGTCTTATTATAGAGAAAAGACGAAACATCAATGCCCTCCACAGGAAGGTCGACGATAGCACATGCGCCTAACACCCAGGAATATCCTCCGGATGCCCATCCCAAGCTTCATCTTCTGAGCAGCCTTTAATTTTATTTGAGGAATAGTAAGGGTGAGTACTTGTCGTACTTAGCAAGTACATGCGGAAAGTAATACTAAATGCAAGTCTTAAAACAAGGACAAAGCTGACTCGGACTTACTGCAGGTTCGCATTTTTAGTTGGCAAAGTTTTATTAAAAACAATCTATATTCACTAAGTGAGTAAAGAGGTATCCCAAGCCCTTAATTAAATGAGAGTGTCATCATTAAGTTTTAAGAAACCATTCCAAAGATCTTCATCTCCATTATCATACAACATAGCCATGCCCGAAATCTAAACCGAGGTAGCCACCTCATCAGCAAAGGACATAGCAATGCCCAGCAAATTCCTAAAAATTCCATTTATAAACATGTGAGATCTATTTCTAATTATGTGAGGGTCCAGACCGCTCGTATCCGTGAGCCCGGCTGATATATCAGTTTTACACTCTGTAGAGGTTGTACACTTTCACCCCAAGTCGTGATTCCCATTTGCCCGGGGCTTGCAAGACCCACAAACACTTCCAAGGTGAGTGGGTAGGGTTTCACTACGAGACTCTTCACAGTTTCTACTAGTAGGAAGCAACCCGCTAGGTTTCAGTCTGACGCATGGTTAGCCGTCCCCGTAGGGAGCCCAAGTAGCCACCCGCAGCATCCCTCACGAGCGAGGACTACCATACTTAGGAACCAAGAGCCCCCTTTTGCGCCTACCCGGTAAGCTGTCGCACTACTAGCAGAAGGTCTGCTAATACGTCAAGCTAGAGCCATAATAGCTTGGGGTTATACGGTATATCCTAGGTGATCGCTCCATGAACCGGTCCTTAGGGAGGGCGGACATAAGTACCGAAAACCACAAGCACTTATTTCCCCTATGTCGCTAAGAGCCAACTTTTAAATTAACCATCCATTGCAATGAGCCATTAGTCAGGATTACATTATCATAATATAAGTAACATGATCCTTTGTGGGTTGCAGCAGCTAAGCATATCTAAAATTAGCCGTGTGAAACCCCCATGTGCAAGGAAGGACTTAAAAGACTAGTCAGGGTTCTTAGGGTTTAACAAATTAAGACACATGCATAAAAGTAAAGTGTAATTAACGTTAAATAGGTAAACAATATGCTTCAAGGAATGTGCCTGTACTTGCCTTCTCCAAATGCGGGCTGTTCAGGTTCCTACAAATCAGGTTCTCCTTCTCCCCAAAGTGATCCCCGTCTATACGCGTCAATCATCACATACAAGGCAAACATATAATTTTAATGAGAAATATTACACCATGGAACAGGTCAAGACAAGCCTACTAAACTATTCTACATGTCGAGACGAGCTTGTGGGTTCGAGAACCACTGAAATCGGAGCTAAAACGGATAAGTTATGGTCATTTTATGTGATAAGGGCAAACCTGTAAATAAGATGAACTAAATTCGGATTTAAAATAAATAAAAACAGAAATTCATTTTGAATCCAGGACTGCGGGTTAATTTGTGAAAAGTGTAGGGGCCTTTTTGCAAAATGGCCGGGGTCCGTTGGCAAAACAGTCGGCGGCTGTTCCGTGGACCGGCCCTAGGGCTCGGGTCCACCGTGGACCGACGGTGCGGTGGTGCGGCGGCGGCCATGGGTGACGGCGTGAAGCTCATCGGGGAGGTGCTGGGAACCTCCCCAGCCTGAGCGGCTGACACGGGGCGGGAGCGGGCGACGTGGCGTGCCCGATGGGGCACTTGCCCGCGGCGGAAGGAGGCAGGGAGGCGGCGGTGCGCGCGGCGGAGGCGCTCGGCTTCGCCGGAGGAACTCCGGCGAACCTTGTCGGTGCGAAAAAAGTGAGAGAGAGGAAGTGGAGGGCTTCGACGGGAAGCTTACCGCACGACGAAGCTTGGCGGCCGATTCTCGGTGGCTGAGAAGTGGCGGAGGCGAAGCTTGGCGGTTGCGGGATCTCGGTGAGCGATAGAGAGAGAGCGAGAGCGAGTGCGAGTGGGAGTGAGGGCTGGCGCGGCTGCCTTTTATAGGCGCCCAGCTGCCACCGGCGAGCGGGCGAGCGGGCTTAGGGGTGCGGACGGCGCATGGCGAGCGAGCGGCAGGGCTGGGCGTGCGCTGGCGCGTGATGCAGGGAGGGGGGGTGCGCGGGCGCGGCTGCTGCATGCCCAGGTGGCCACGCGGCGTGGTCGGGTAGTTCTGGGTGGCCGACGATGGCATACGGGCGCGCGGGGAAGGGGACGACCAGGGGAAGGGGCCGCTGACGGGCGGGCCCCACCTGGCGGTGAGCGCGAGAGAGGGAGAGAGAGCGGGCTGGGGCACGCGGGCGCTGCTGCTGTGGCCTGTGGGCCGGCTGGTCATCCGGGCCGCGCAGTCGCGAGGGAAGGGGGAGGAGGGGCGCAGCCGCTGGGCCGAGTCGGCGCGGGCGGGCAAGCCGTGGGCCTAGGCCTTCGCGCGGGAAAGAAGAAAGGGAGAGGGGGAGAGGGGAGTCCGGCTGGGCCGGGCTGGTGGCGGGAACGGGCCAAAAGCCAGGGAGAGGGGTGGAGGAGAAAAGAAAATGGTATTAACATTTTTCAAAAGGAGTTTGTGAAAGGGATTTCTATCCTAATTTGGTTTAACAAAGCTAAGCACTCATGAGCAAGCAATAAAACTGTGCAGCGGCATGAATGCAACAAAACATTGTTTCTACCTTATATTTATTTTTAGTTTATTTTTTTGTAAAATGTTTATTCATCCCTAGAAAAACAAATATGACTAACCAAAATAAATTCAAATTAATTCAAATAAATTCTAATTTCAGAATTTAAAAATTAGGGTGTTATAGAAGGCGAGCGTGTAACAGAACCGACCAAATCATAAGAACGTAAGTACAAAAACAATCACCGAAGCGATCAAATTCATGTACTTAAGCTCCCATAATCCCGGTAGTCTGGAAATCACGAAGGATTTCAACCAACTCTCGACATACAAACCAAGACCGTAGTGATTCAACACAACACATCATCCGTTACAACATTTCACAAGTAGCATTAGGATTACATCCATCAGAGTTCAAATA